GAAGGACCGAATAGAAAGCGGAAGGACAAAAATGGCGGGAACGAGGAACCGCTGGAGGACGCCAACAGCTTAAAGAAGGCACGAGTGGTGTGGTCTCAGGATTTGCATCAGCAATTTGTGAATGCGGTAACGCAACTGGGAATCGAGAAGGCAGTGCCGAAGAAAATTCTGGAGCTGATGAACGTGCAAGGACTGACGAGAGAGAATGTAGCAAGCCATTTGCAGAAATACCGCCTCTATTTGAAAAGGTTGAGCGGTGTGGAGACAGCGCAGCACGCGTCGCTGACGTATCAGCCATCGGCGGAAGCGGGTTTGAGTGGGTCGATGCAGATAAACAATGCGGCAAGGGCAGTCGTAGGGCCAGGGGTCGGCAATACCCTGGCTAGGGCGTTCAATTTGGCGGGGTTGGCAGGGCTGGGCGGAATTGGCGTTGGTCTAGGAGGGGCAATGGGGAAGTCGCCGGGAAATGGGGGACTGGTGGGGGGATTGAGCGGGCTGGAGTGTTTGACGGGGGGAGGGCTAGACGCCGCGGATTTGGTGAGAGGGCTGCAGGTCTTCCAAGGGCAAACGATTGCGCACTCGCAGTCGGCGACGCTGGCGCATCTGCAGCGGACCGGAGCGCACGGGAGCGGAGCCGGCGCCGCTGCAGCCTTGATGGGCTCGAGTGCCGCGGGTCTCCTCGGAGGCCTGACGGCTGCAGCGGGCGCGGGAGCGGGAATTGGAGATCTTTCGCAGATGGACCTAAATTTGCTGTTCAACGCGCAGCAGGAGGTGGTGGCGAGGTCGAGGCTTGGCCTGGGAGGTGCGGATGACTCGCTTGCGTCCTCGCTGATGGCGGGCTTCGGCAATCCTGCACTTGCGGTGCTGGGGAATGCCGCGGGGCTAGGGCCGGGCGGCGGGGGCGCCATGTCCCCGATGTCGATGTTGGGCGGCTCGTCGCTCTGCAGCGGAGGGAATCTCGGCTCCGGCAATCCCGGGGGAGATGGCGGGTGTCTAGGGAACGGGTTGATGACCGGCGGCGGAGGTGCGAGAGTGGGCGGAGGTGGAGGCGGAGGTGGTGTGCAGTTGACGGAAGGTATGAATCCTTTAAGACTCGACGGGTCGGGATTGACAGCGGGCTCGGCGGGGGGGGCAGGAGGAGCAAGGGGCGCTGCGGACCGGATTCTCACGGGAGATGCAGGCGCATTACGCAACCCGCTTCAGAGCACTTGCTGCATGTTGACCTCGCGAGCAGGGGGAGGGGCGGGGGCAGGCGGAGGGGCGGGGCCGCAGACCGGCTACTTACAGCAACAGCAGCAACAAGGCGGACCCGCGGCGGGGGGCTCTGCGGATGTGCGCGGGTTGAGCCCTCAGAATGTAGACTCGATCAGGGCGCTCGGCGGGGTAGCGGGAGGTGGTGTAGTTCTAGGCGGGGGGGGAGGAGCCGGCGGAGGCGGTGACGTCGCGGAATCGAAACCTCTTGTTTCGATGCTGAGAAGCGTTGACCACATGAGCTCTCTTGTGACGGCGGAGTCGAAACCTCTGGTTTCGCTGGGGGGGGGGGTAACTGGGGGAGCAAACTGCCTGGCTCCGCCGGCCCCGTCGATTTACGGAGGGTCGACGGGGGGAACGGCAGGAGAGCTGAGTCCCTACCGGTCTGTCACGGGTGGTGCGGGTGGCAGCAGTAGTGGTATACTCGTCCTAGCAGGCGGGGATGAGCATCAACGGCGCCACTTGCCTTCCCCGTTGGGCCAGATGCTCCTTACCCACGGAACACCGAACAGATACGTCACCGAACGGAACGGGCACCACACGTCGTCGCAAAACGTGAATAGTTTTCCAACATGAGAACCACGACAAGGAGGAGGGAGAAACTGGGGAGGGTGAAATTGGGGAAAGGAGAGTAGTTGTAAGAAAGAAGGTGGAGATGGGGAATTCACTCACTGGATGCCTGTGACGGAGGTGATGGGCCTGTTCTTTGGATTTGTTAGCTCGCTGGAGTTTGACTGAGAAAGGAGACGTTTTGAAAGGATGGAAAAGAGGAGAAGAGAGAGCGAGGGGGGAGGGAGGAGTGGTCGGTTGTACAAAGCGAGTTTGTGTTTTTGTGTGTGCGCGTGAGAGAGAGAGAGAGGAGAGACGCAGAGGAGGAAAGAGTGGTGGGGGCGGGGAAGAGAGGAGTGAGAGGAAGGATGTGCGGGAAAGAGGAGGGAGCGGAAGCGGATGTGGAATTTGTTGGGTGTGAAGGGAAGGCGGGGGAGGAAGGGGGGGAGGCGAGAACGGACGGATGGACAGACGTGGACGTTGTGACGTTTTGCGTTTTGCTGCTATGTGTTTTCTCTTCGTGAAATATGAGAGGTAGAGAAGTGGAGGAGGACGATTAGGGGAAAGCTGTGGGAATAAGAAAAGCACTATTTCTTCGTCGTTTTAATCTTTCGCGCTCTCTTTCGTAAATGAAAAAGAGGCAGGAAATAAAACCGTAAAAATGAGATACGAAAAGGTACGTGGGGGTTGCGCTCTCCTCGTTGGTGGTTCACTCTCCTTTCCTCCTCCTTCTTCTCCTTCTTCTCCTTCTTCTCCGTATCCTTCTTCTTCTCGATGTCGTCTGTTCACTGCTCCTCTCTCTCTCTCCGCTTTCACCGTTCCTGTTCTCCCTATCGTTCTTTGGCGTCCGCGTGTTTTTCATTTGTTGGTGTCTGGGCGTGAGTGCACGCGCGTGCGCCGCTGCGTGTATTTGAGCACGCGCGCGCCCGAGAGTGCAGGGGGATGCCGCCACGGAAGGGAGAAGAAGAGGCGATGCTGCAGAGAGCCGCCGGGGGGAAATGGCAAACGAAGCGGGTATTCGGCTTTTCCGACGAATTGTGTAAGATATAGAACTCGAGAGTGGGTTGGTTGTCACGACGTGATGATTTAATTTTCCATAATATTTCAGCTATACAGCTCAGTAGCTTGACGCGTAGGTAGGTAGGATATCAGATATGTGATTCGCCGCAGGAAGAGCAGCTAGCTAGTTAGCTAGATATCAGTCAAATTGATAGATAAATACGATTGATATATTGATTGGTAGATCAATTCTTGGTTCTTGGTTGGGATGTGTTTTTCGCTGTCGTGATTGCTGCCGTTGCCGATGGGCGGAAAAGTTCTGTCAATCATCGTCGCAGGTACAGAACTCCTTTTACTTCTGGGGGAATTCACTCTTCCTCCATTTCATCTTTTCGTTTCCTCCTCCCAAGCTATAGCAGCCCTGTGTCTCACCCTCTTTCACTTTTTCCCCCCTTTTTGTCTTTTCCCCTTCTCCCTTTCCCCGATTGTCCTTTCCCTTTTCTTGTGCCTTTGCTTGTTTTCCCTTTCCGATACTCCTTTCCCTTTTCTTGTGCCTCTCAATTACGACAATCAGAAACGGAATACGTGTGTGACTGGATGGGGCGGTGCTGCTGTTCTCCCACATGATGTGTGAAGTTTTTTTTTTTTTTTTTTTTTTTTTGGTTGAATTGACTAGAATATCCTCTTTGGGCAGCCATAGGGGGCGGGCGCGCGCGCGCGCGCGCGCGCGGCCCAGCGGTTGGTCTCAGTTTCGCCGTTTCCTGGAAGGTGATACCACTCCGTTTCATTTCGGGGGTGTGCAAATTCGCTCCCGTTTTCAAGAGTCGGTTCCTTTTGTGGAATTGCATTTTTTTTTCTTTTCTTTTTTCTATCCTTATTTTCGCCGTGTTCCTTGCCCCGCGCTTCTCTACTCCCTGTTTTCATTTTTCGTCCGCTTTTCTCTCCTGTGGCTTCTTTCCTCCCCCCCCTCATCTCTCTTTCGCCCCCCGCTCTCTTCGACTTTGCGTTTTCCCCATTCTCTTCTCTGCCGCCGTTTTCCCTCTATTTCTCTCTCTTCCTTTGTCTTGTCTTTCTTCTTTTCCTTTGCATCCTCGTTTTCTCGTTGCCTTCTTTTCTTTTGCTTTTTGTTTTTCCCTTTTTTCTGTATTTCCCCCCTCCCAGCTACTCTCACCTCCGTCTCTCTGACCTCGGTCTTGTGAGCTTTTTCCTGAAAAGAGATACACGCCGACATGTATGGATGGTGCTATTCGAAGAGAAATGTGCTCGGAAGCAAATTGGCCAATTGGTTGCCGCTACTGTTCTTTTCCCTGTCTTGGCCTTCTTCACTGTGTTGTTGTTCCCTGGTCTGGCTCTCCTGTTTCTTCGTCTTCCCTACGTCCTCCGTCCTCTCTCTCTCTCTCTCTCTGTATATCCCCTTTTACCTCGCATTTTCTCCCCCCTTTCCTTTTCCTCCCTCCCTCTTTGCCCCTTCGTCTCCCCCTCCCCCCTCCCGCTTTCCCCATGCCCCCCTCCCTTTCTTCCTTCCTCCACCCTCTCCCCCCCCTTCCCCCCCCCCCCCCCCTTTGACCACCTTTCTCGTTTCTTCCCCTTTGTTCGTCCCCACTGTCTGCTTTCTCGCTCTTGTCCCTCCGCTCGCCCTTGCCACCACTTCTCTCCCCTCACCGATTCTCTCTCGTTTGACGTCTGTCCTTTCGTATCCGTTTGGTCTTTTTTCCTCCCTCCCTCCTCTCCTCCCTCCCATGTCGTCTGGCTCCCGGACCTGTTTTCTTTGCCGTCTTGGCAGTCAAAGAGTCCAAAAAAAATGCTTCATGTTTTCGGTCATTAGCATCTTGCCAGTCGGTTCTCGTTTGGTTGAATGATTAGTTCAAAAAATGTGCTCTCATCTCCCTCTCTCCTCTGCAAGTCACCTCCCCCCTTTTTTCTCTCTATAATTCCCCTTCCCTTCCCTGCCCTTCCCCTTCCCCCCGCCCTCCCCGCTCTCTCTTCGCCGTCGTTTGTTTTCGATCCTTGATGCTGTGAGGTTGCCTGTGAGAGACCAATATGTACGGAAGCGAAGTTTTGCCTGTGTCACCATGCTCAGTCCTTCGCCGATGGAATCTCCAGGCAAACACGAAAACGGTCTTCCAGGAAGGAAGGACCATCGGGAAACACGAAAACGATCATGCAGCAAGGGGACTGTGAGTGCCTTCTTTCGTTTTTTTTGCAAGGCGTCCCTTTTTCTGTTTGCGCGTGCTGCGTGCTTTATCCTAGAGCGAACAACAGTACAGCTCTAACAATTGAACTTGATGTTCAAGAAGTGCCACTCTCTCTGTCTCTCTCTCTCTCTCTCTCTCTGCCGCTCGAAAGTTATGTTCTTTCTCGTGCCCATTCGTCAGGTCGTCCGTTTCGGCCTTCGTGTCTAATTTTTGGCTGATTCCGTCTCTCTCTCTCTCTCTCTCTCTCTCTCTCTCTCTCATCTCTATCTTGTCTCTGTCTTTCTCCCTCGAAAGTTATGTTCTTTCTTATGCTCATTCGTTGGGTCGTTCGTTTCGACCTTCATGTCTAATGCTTGGTGATACTGTGGCGGGTAATATCCCCGCGCCTCCTTGTTTCTTCGTGTATTCGTTGTTCGTCCTGTCTCTCCCACGTTTTCCAAGTTGGCGATTGACGTAATCTGACGACATATTGTTTTGTACGCAGTTCTGGACGCGGCGCTCATCTAAATTTTGATGTACTCTGCTAAAGTTTAGTGGTCTTTATGTGTCGGCTCGTACCATAGAGGATGGGGAAGGGTGAGGCTGAGGTCGACTTCTCGGGCCGGTCTACTTTCCTGTGTGTCTTCGAGATAGATTGCAGCTGTTCAGAAAGCGATTCGGACAGATTGACCAAGGAGGGGAAGGGAATGGGATGGGGGGAGGGGTCCACAGCGGAAGAGGAGAGTGGCGCCTCTCTCCTCGCTAGAAAAAGTGAGACATTTGTTTTGCTGCAGATGGAATAGGGATTGCATGGTCCTTACTCTCCATGACGTCGGGTACTCTTACTCTGATATGCCGGTGACGACAACAACGGTGAGTCAAGTGCTATACAGCGCAGAATCTCTCGTCTCGAGACATATAGGTCGCGAACCACCGGTTAGTCCCGTGTTGAAGTCTGTCCGCAGAGATGGGTATACGACAATCCAATGTGATGGGTGCGAGGTTGTGCACTCTATTGTGAAATACGTTGAGCTCTCGCAGGAGAGAGAGAGAGAGAGAGAGAGAGAGGAAATTGCGTGAAAGCGCTGCTCTGAGAGAGAGAGAGAGAGAGGAAATTGCGTGAAAGCGCTGCTGAGAGAGAGAGAGAGAGAGAGAGAGAGAGAGGAAAATGCGTGAAAGCGCTGCTGAGAGAGAGAGAGAGAGAGAGAGAGAGAGAGGAAATTGCGTGAAAGCGCTGCTGAGAGAGAGAGAGAGAGAGAGAGGAAAGTGCGTGAAAGCGCTGCTGAGAGAGAGAGAGAGAGAGAGAGAGAGAGAGAGAGATTGTCCATGAGTGCCTGGCGGAGGGTAGGGAGGCGGTAAATATATGGTTGTTCCAGTGGGTGACGCAGCGTTTGCGTGAGAAGGTGTATGTGGTGATTGATCTCCATTCGTTCTCTATCAACGATGGGTGGGCTGCCGCACAACGCCACCTCTATGTCGCGTCAACCCGAAAGTTTAGGGCGTTGCCCTGAGTCCAGACGAGAAAGCGGTTCATGCCAGTTGTCCGACAGTGAGCGACTCGGCTGCGCCCCGCGAACTGCGCCCAGAGGCGGCGAAGTGGAGGGGGATCTCTTCTGGTCATTCGGAAGTGGCGCCCGTCTCGTTGATTGGTAGCGTCGGTGATCTTTCCACGTCTGATGATCTCTCTTGGGCGGGTTTGGTCGTTCTGCTTGTTGTGAGGTGGGCGAGATCATAGCCATGGTCCAGATGCTAGTGATGGCGGCAATGATATACTGTAGTATTAGGCATCGGGGACCGTACAGGACGACGAGGAGAATGTATGCATCGGGGATGGAAATAAGCAAAACCAGCACGCAGTCCTGTTGTGCCTGGCGTGGAAGGATTATCCGTTGTCGTCAATTACCGGGAAGTATGGGGTCTATAGCGGTGTACCGTTTTTGCCCGAACACAACGCACCCTCATTAGAAGATGTCTTGTATACATTCACAACACAATTAGCGTGCGTTATGTTCGGGGAGGACGGCAGCAACGACCTCCATAGCTGTCTCTTATACACATCTAGCTGTGTATTAGTGTGCTATATATCTATATGATGTCTTCTCTCGAGTGGTGTGCTATATATCTATATGGGCCTCGCTGCACTACTCTTGAAATGCACAAAAGACAAAAATCATGGCCGTGTATCTTTCCATATTCTAGCGGAAGATTCACTCTCGTTTTGCACATTTCGAGAGTAGTGCAGCGAGGCCCTATATCTGCTGACCCAGTGAGAAGCTTTTTGTTCTTCTTTTCTGCCGTTTTTTTTTTTTTTTTTTTTTTTTTTTCCTGCTGTTTTTGTAAAAGAACGGCAATGATAACTTCTGGCGGCGAAAACAAACGTAATCCGAAGGCTAATTGGAAAGCCAGAAGCTGTCTAAGTGTCTATTTGTTGTTGTTGTTTGCATTGGGAAAGCCAGAACGGAACACGATTTTGTCTAATCGTCCCCCCCCCCCACACACACACACAGCTTTGTTTGGCCTTTCGCCTCCCGTCTTCCGTTCGCTCTCTCGCCTCCTTCTTCCTCTTCCGTCGTCCTTGGCGCTTTCCATCTCTCCGTTCATCCCCTTTTCCCGTGTCTCTTGCCCTATCTGCAGGGCTTCCCGGGCCGTACTGGCTTCGCTGCATTTTATCTATTTCCTGTCCCCTTGCCTCTCTCCCCGTGGCGCACTGGCTTCGGCGCATAGGAGGAAGAAGATAAAAGTATCTTCTTCCTCCTGTCTGTCATGATTCCTAAAAACCGCAGTTCCGGCCGACCCTCTTTGCTCGAACCCCTTCCTCTCTGCGTTCTTTCTCTTTCGCTATTTACCTCCACCACCTCTTTTGCTCCCTCTCCTCTCCTCTCCTCTTTCTGGGGCAAGTGTAGTCGCATTTGAGCAGGTGTCATTGAAGACATAGTCTTGGGTTCACGCTGGCCCGATATTGATTTCCCTTCGCTGGATCGATTGCCTTGTCCAACGTGGACATTCGAATAGTCTGCGGAACGTCTCTCTCTCTCCTACATATAACATGAAATTCCCGGCTGCAAGATTTGCGTTGGTTGGTATGAGCAGTTTTTTCGAATGGTGATGGTGCCCATAGGATGAAGGGCATGATGATAGCCAGTTGCTGAGCGGAGATGCATGCGCGCGAGACGAAGATACGCTATCAACATAATGCCATTGGGAGAGAAGGTGGTGGTTGCTCCCTGGTCTCTGACGTGTCTGTGTCCACTGCGTCGATTTGGCGTTTGTTTCGAGTCAATTGGCCATCTGCCGCGGTTTTTCGGGGTGGCTTCAGCTGGGGGTAATGAAACGAAAGGGGCACACACGGGGCTTCCTTGCTCTGTCCGTCTGTTGCGTACCCGTAACCCGTTAGGGTCTCTCTTC